ATTTTGACTCCCATGGCCAACATCAAAGTCATTATCACCTTCGCCTTCCATGCATGAGTGATCTGATTCACTTTTGACTGCCTTGGAAACTTGGAAATCTGTTTTTTCATGTGCCATTGTTCTGAATTGGGTTACTTCTACCAGAAAAATGAAAGTAAACCCATATTCCATTACAGTAAAGTACATGTTTACATAGCAGAAGGGTGTGGGTGTGTCCCCTCCCCATGATGCTCAGGTAAACATATGCAAAACCTGTTAGATGAGCAGAAGTGTGGATAAAAATCCTGGTTTGACACTTTTGCACATGTGTACACACCTTTCCATTTGCCATACCAAGGGGGGAAACACAGATTGTTCCCTGCATCCCCCAGGCTCAGCTCCTGAAGCACACAGCCAGCTACTCTTACACTAAAGTACATATTTACAGTAGAAAAGTATGGGATGAGGTTTTTGTTTTTGTTTTTTAACTCAATGTTATGTCCTGTGAGTTTTAAAATAAGTATGTAGGTTCACTGACTCTTGTTGAAAAAGAAGTTTTAGGAGAGCCCAATAAAAAAGACATCAAGGGTGTATTAGGGTGTATGCAAAAAATCGAGTATGGATATTCAGGGAACTGAGAACACGCTACAAGCTGGAATGGAATACATTTAGGGGGTGTTGTCAAGATGGACGATGTAGGTTGTATCTTCATGGTCAGGTTACAGTACAGGCCATCTGTAGGTGTTTGAAGTTGAGATGTGCTGCCTGCCAATGTTACTTTTTGCAGCTGGAAAAAGGACAGTTTGTAGGTGAAAAGGACATGTTGGGTCAAGCATGGTGGTGTACACCTGTAATACCAGCGCTTGGGAGGCTGAGGCAGGAGGGTTGCTGTGAGTTGGAGGCTAGCCTGAGCTATATAAGTGAATCTAAGGCCAGTCTGCACTACATAGTGAGACTGTGTCTCAAAAAACAAAGGAAAAAAAGTGAAAAGGACAGGTCTAGCGCATGGAATTTACAGGGTACTGTAAAAGAACATTTAGGGGAAAAATTTTTTCTTTGAGTTTCCTAGAAGTGAGAAGGCTTTGATATCAAGCTGTAGGTCTTAATTTTAAAGTCTTCGATTTCCTTGTCTCTTTTTTTTTTTTTTAACCTATTTTGTGTTTATCCTACCTCACTACCTTTTCATTACCTAGAGATGATTTGGTGCATTTTCTTACAATAAAAAGTTTTTGAAAGGAATTATAATAGTAATTTTATCACCTTCATTTTTTTGAGCATTTCTCCAGGCTACTGATATAATAGCCTAGTCTTAATAAATGTGCTTTTAAACGACAATGCAATTTTCAGTCACTTGAATACTTAATATTTGATACCCATGTCCCTATTTCAACATTTATTTACAAATACTCAGTGCTTGAAGAATAAAATTGTATGTAAATATTTATCTTTTATTGCTTCCTTAGCATAGATTTTTAGATATGGACTTACTGGTTCAAAAATACATTTCTTGGAGATATATTTGCAGAGGTATATGCCACAAAAATGTCACAGAATCTTGCACTGTTTTTTAAAATTTTGTTTTAAAGAAAATAGTACAAAAAAAAGAACAATAGCAAAATACAAACTAAACAATGCAAGGACATTAAAAATTATACGAGGCTTCAAACCAAATGATAGGGATTAACTGGTTGTTATATTACATATTGGTATCATCAACAAAATTGCTCAGATTACCAAATGTAAGAATAGAATATTGATTAAATCACTAAAGGGAATAAGGACATAATAATTTAGAGGAACATTAGAGACAATAATAGTTTCACTAGACAGGATTGTAGGAATTCCCCATTGGTGGTTATACTGCAAATTGTTGTCACATAAGTTGCTCAGATTACCAGATAAAAGCATGCAAAGTTGGTCAAAATATTAAAAAAACTTCTAATCATTAACTGTTCCCCTCATCAAACCATCAGACACCAGCAGTACAGTTATGCCACCAAGGCCGAATCTTGCACTCTTAACAAACAGTAGGCATGACTTGTTGTCTTACCCAGTGTCTCTTTGTTAGCTTTGGATGATATTCTGCACACATGCAGTGTGATAAAAATGTTTAAATTAAAAACTTTATTACAGTAAAATATTCCCATTAATCCCCCTCCAAATACCAACCTACACACGCACACTTTGAAGTACTTACTCCATCCCTGCCACTTGCTGAAGCAGTTCTGGAAGTCTTCCTTATTGAGTATCTTTAGTTGCATGGTCATGCCTACCTAAATGTCCTGAACAGATCCAAAATGTTTAGCTTTTATGATCATTTTGACTTTTGGAAGGAGCAAGAAGTCTCACAATGCCAGATCTGGTGATAAAGTGGATGAAGTCACACGGTAGTTTTTTTCTGACAGAAATTGCTGTCAAGGACATGGAGGCAGCCATGACAGTACAACTAATGACACAAAAGAGGATTTCCAGAACTTCACAATGTGACAAGAACAATATAATGAGTGTTTAGGGTGAAGGGGAGTATTTTGATGGGAATTAATAGCAATGTGTCTTCTACTATAATGCATTTATATTTTTATCACAGCTTGTAAAGTAGAAAAAGGGCACTTTATGTTTTATTTCATGTTTCCTTGATTACTAATGGTGTTGAACATTTTTCATATTGATGGTCATCTTATAGACAAGTGTTCACGGCCTTGGTTAAATTTTTTTTTTTTTTCTATTCTTTTTGAGGGTCTTGTTATGCAGTTCAGGCTGGCCTTGAGCTCACCTTGTAACCCAGGTTGGCCTTGAACTCGCAACAATGCTCCTGCCTCAGCCTCCCGAATGCTGGGATTACAGGCGTGCGCCACCATGCCCAGCGGCCTTTGTTAAATTATTATGCTGTCGGTAATCTTGTTGACTAAAAGTATATCTTAAGGGCATTAGTTTATGCCACCTCATTGATTTTAAATTCCTTTACTTGGTTTGTACATTAATTTTGATTTTGTTTATGATCTTTCGATTTTCAAATGTTTCTAGTTTTTATGAAGACATGTATATATACTTTTTTTGTAACATAGGTGTTACATTTTAAAAATATCTTTTGAAAGGAAATTTAGCAAGCCATTTTTATTTTCTTCTAAATTTTTAATGGTTAACTTTTTGTCTTATGTTTAATTACCTACATCACCTAGAGATGTATCTTTAAATATGATATGAGATAAAGCTATTTTGTCAAAAATAAATCTAGTTTATTTTTCCATTTGATATGAAACATTATTTTGTCAGGCTCTGAAAGTAAATTCCAACAGGAATTTTAGTAAGATTTTGTTAAATTATTTGGGGGAAAACACATTTTTATCAAATTGCTATATTTACTCAAATTTTAATTGTAACAATTTGAATCATAACTTTGACTAATAGTTGGTTCTTCATCTAAGTTCTAGGTACTTCTTTTTAGTAGTATATCTTGTATTTTCCTTACTATTAATACAATCTATTTTTTCAGTTAAGCCTATTAACTTGTCACTTTATGGTAAAAGTACAGTTTATTATATATATATATATATCTTTTAAATAACCAATTTTTTAAATTCTATTCATGTAAAAAATTTCATTTTATTTATCTGGAGTTTTCAATACACAATAAGGTATGTAATATAACCTCTAAAAATTGTGTGAAATCTTTCTAATAGTCATATATCTTTTATAACAGATGGGCCAGAATATTCAAAACCATGTTAAATAACTATAATAGAGCATATCTTTGTTCTAATTTGTTATTTTTATTGATGTGCTTTACCATTAATTTCTGAAATTAGCTGTTGATATGATATCCAAGATGAAGAATATTCATCTTAATATTTCATTTTATGTTTAGTTTCCTTAAAGGTTATATTAGTAATTAGTAATTTTGTTACTAAATACCTTTTGGCCTCTGTTTAGATGACTAGTCTTTATCACTATTAAATCATGGTTGAGTTCCTGTAGTAAATCCACCGGGCAGTAGGTGAAGGAGAGTGTAGTGGATGTTCTCTGTAGTTCAGCATTTGTCAAATCTAGTTTTCCATTAGGTTCTATACGTTTTTATTCAGTATTGTTAAATCTATTCAAAAGCAATGTTGCTGTTAGATCTTAGTGTTAAATTTTGCTAGCTTTTTATCGTTTCAGTGTTCTAGAAGAATTATTTCTGCATAGTAATATTCTGTGTCTGGAAAATTTAAAAATTATTAGAAGTAAAACTGGTTAGTCCTGGAAATTTTGTTGTTGCTGTTGTAGTTTTCTTTAATCAGGAATTACTTCTCACCCATTCTTTGTCCTGATATTTTTGAACAGCACAGAACACTGATTTGGTGGAATGTTTTGCATTTCAGGTTTGTCTAATGCTGCCTACTGATTAAATACAAGTTATATACTTGAGCATCCACAGAAGGAATAATATGTATTTCTCAGTGTATCACATGAAGCCACAGTTTGCTCCAGTGCCAGTCATGCTGGTTTAATCCCTCGGAGTGGTGTTCACAAACATATCCATTGTAAATCATTACTATATTTGTAATTAATAAGTAACTCGTGGATAAGTATTCTGAGACTTTGTCCGCATCCTATTCTACATCAAATGTTCACTGCTAGTTTTAGGATCTACAGGTGATTTTTCTAATTCTGTCTCCTATATTTATAGGTTGGCACCTTTCTCTAAGGAAGAGATTTCCCTGCTCAACTTTTAATTTTTATTTTATTTTTTATTTTGTTTTTGTACCGGGAATCGAAACTCACGACCTTGCACTTGACAGGCAGGCGCTGTGCCGCTGAGCTAAATCCCCAGCCCTTACCCTGCTCAACTTAACTCATTTATAGATTTATATCAGTATAGAGTTGTAGATTTTTATTTTGTGCAGTGAGCTGTATTATATTGCATTGTTACTAATTTTGATGCTGATATTGTCCCAGAAGGGCCAGTGGGAGACCCTTCAAGCTTGCTTCTGTACCTTTCTAACATGTTCCCATTATTCATTAGTACTTCCTTACTTCTTCAGCAGGACATTCCAGACCCTTCTTGGATTCTCCCTGCCCAAGCCCTGAATCAGCTTTTTTCCCCCCAAGGAGCCCTGTTCCTTTTATTGGATAATGATGTTTAGAAACTACATTTTAGGCAGTAACTGTGCTCATTGTTATCGGGATATCATTGCTTAGTGTCCAAAGCTAGTGTTTGTGTATGTTTATGTACATGTACATGTATGTACAGTGTCACACACACGTACACACTATATGCTCATATAAACATATTTTTAATCTACCTATAAATCAATATCTCTGTGAGTATTGTTTTGTAGGTCCCATTTTCAGATTAAGGAAGTTTTCTCTA